GAAAATGATTACAAATTTTAACTTTCATCAGAAGTTCGATTTTTTTGTGATGTGTCCAAGACTTCTCATTCATACCTCGTGACAGGACAAAGCCACCTAATGCAAAAAGTACGAGCAAAGCAAATGACCCAAAGGTGTTGGCAACGACCATGTTTCTACTAGCTGCAGCAATAAATCGGAACAATCCCGAAGCCATCTGATTAACTAAAACAAGGATGAAGTACTGCCTAAACAACCTGTGCCAGAAAACTCACTTTCACATCCATTTAGATCAGCGCTAAACAACAAGCAACTATACTATATCAATATCGACTCGTCACTTTGAATCGTTACCTTTCAACATTCGGATCAAATCCAATGACATAGTAGGTAAGAAACACCCATAAACTAACTTCTACAAAGGATATAGGTATCTTGAGTATCCATGTTGGTAGAGCATATGCCCATGAAGGATAGAATAGGAGGTCTCTCTGCTTGAAAAAGACAGGAAGCTTAGAAATGGTCATGGAAATCTCGGACATCCCATTAAACATGATAGCAACCAACCCAGCGGTCATGGCCCCCGTATAGATTCCTCCCCCTTTAATTGAATCATGCATCATCTCAGTCCTTAGGAAGAGTGTCATGGTAATAAATGCCATTATTGTGAGCTAGTAGCACAAAGAAAATAAAGTTAAGAGTCACAGTTTAAATCTTTGATAATCGTGGTACAAGAAACGAATTTCATTAGTACATGTATAGACTTGAATAGGTAAACGAAAGAGTTTCTCTTCATCAGAAGATATTCCCTTGAGATGCAAGCTTTGAGCAACTCTTTCTTTCCAATACCATACTTTGTGGTTGTCAAAGCAGCTGGATGGCTCTTTGTTTTGTCCAATGGAACATCAAGTTCATCTCTGAGTTTCTTTCCCACGTGAAATGATTGGAATGCCTCAGAGAATTCATTGGCCGTGACAAACCTGTAAGGTTGATCTTTACGTACCCAATACTGCTTTTGATCTTTCCTTGATGTAACCTGCAATGAACATAGTCCTGTTAAATGTTATAGAAGAGTAACTTTGGTCCTAATGGAAAAAAGGATCAAAACTTACTTCTTGCAAGAAGTCTGCCACGCCTTTTCTCTCCGGACATTTGAAGCCCATAGATTCAAAGAAGCTCAGCACGTGTTCACGAGGACCCAGATATACAATCCGGCCATGAGAAAGTAAAATAATGTCATCAAAAAGATCATAAGTCTCTGGAGCTGGTTGGAGAAGAGAGATGACCGCAGTTCCATTAAGGATGTGAACACTTTGCTTGAGGCAGTTGACAATTTGGAAAGTTGTAGAGCTGTCCAGACCAGTGGATATCTCATCCATAAACAGTGCATTTGCTGGTCCAACCATCATCTCACCTAATTGGATTAACATATTTAGATTTCATGATAAGAGATTCAGGGTAATTTACAGATTGAATTAATGGTGTATTTGATATCATGAATTACCTGTTGTGACACGCTTCTTCTGTCCTCCCGAGATGCCCCTCGACATTTCATCTCCTACCATAGTGTCTGCACATACTTCCAGTCCTAAAACCTGCAAAATTTATGGCAAAGCTATTCAATAAGTAATGAAATTTTCTTTCATTATACTTCAACCTCTCTGTAACTTTTACCTTTAGCATATAGTCGGTGATTACATTTGCTTCCTGACCTTCTGTTGCTACTGCCTAAAATATTAGAAAGGCAAAGTACATCATGAATTAATGCATGATTCTGTATAATATATTCCTGAAATATTATAATGACACTTTTTCCCTTACCTTCATGAAGACATCCATATCAGGATCAGGTTTAATGTTTGCCTGTTTCTCTCTTCTCGTCAGCTCTGCTAACATCTCTGTAACACCCCCAACCCCCCCCCCCCCCAAAAAAAAAAAAAAACAAATTTCATGAGGATAAAGAATGACATTCAGATTGTTCCAAAAGATATATATATATATATATATATTTATATATGTGTAAGTATATATACATCAAAAGGACTGGAAAATGAATCAAACGTACCATAGCGTTCCCCAACCCCTTGACATCTAGCAGCAAAGGCCAAAGTTTCCCTCACAGTCATTTCTCCAATGTGAAGATCATGTTGACTGATATAGGCAGCTGTTCTCTGTGGCACAAACTCATCCATGGCATGCCCGTTGTAAGTCACCGTCCCTGAACACTGGAAGAGGAGCTTACTCTCAAATTAGAAATCAAAACAATGAAAAAAGAAATTAATGAATTCCATTTGAAAGAAAAATTAAATTTTGTCAAGCACCTTGAGTGTAGGATCAAGCTTCCCAGCTAAAGCCAACAGCAGAGTGGTCTTCCCAGAGCTTGGAGGACCCAATAGCAATGCCATCCTTTAATAAATACGTGAGAACAACAATGATTGAGTAATTCCAGGATCGCTGCAACTTTTATTTTCAGGATAAAAATAAAAAATTCATATATCGCCATTGTTACCTGCCCGGTTTAATGATGCCACTGACATCATTGAGGATGGTAAATTTTTTCTTTCTACTAGAAAGAATACCGATATGATTCAAAAATCCCTGTAAACCCAGTACAAAATGAAACATGAGATATGATCCCAAGCAAACAAAACTGTTAAAAAGTTAAGGAATTTTTCCGGGTTGCTACCTCAATTATACCAGTAGTGAAATTAAGAACTGTGGGCAAAGCACTGGTTCCAACAAAAGCTTGGGCTTCAATGTTTAGATGTTCAAACCGGACTTCAATTGTGGGAAGATCAATGCCAACCCTGAAAAAGAAGAGCCAATGCCATGAAAACTGGATCTTTGATTCTTTCCATTTCATTTTCCTAGTAACCAAACATGGAAAAAAATAAGGCAAAAATTGATACCTAGCTACACGGTTCTTGAGCTTCAACAACAACTTCTCATTATCTTCCTCTGCAACTTTGACCAACCTCTCAAGCAAAACCTTTCGTTGTTGCCACCCAAGTTTATGAACATCGATTTCACTGGCACCACCTTCAGAGCTGGTCAATATACCTTTCCTCAGACGAGAAACAGTTGGTAGTCTCTCGAGTGCAGCCCACATTAAAGCTTCTTCATCATCTTCTTCTCGATAAGACCTTGAAAATGGCTCCACGTCATTGTTTCTCCATGCCAATGACGTTGGTGATCGTAAACTACTACTCGCTCTGTAAATATCACTACCCTCCATTATCGAAATAAGAAAACACCCACCAGAGCTATATCACAAAACGTTAACGTTTTGGGAGCTCCAATCAACCAAAGAAAAAAAAAGATTGTAGTTTTAGTTTTGAAACTGAATCCCAACAAAAGAAGATAGAAACAGTATGTATGAAGTTGAAGAATTTGCTGGTGCATGAATATTAAGAAGGCTGTTGCGATGTATATACAAGCATGATAGCAATTCTTCTACAAGCCTTTTTGTTAACTTTGTTAGCAATTCTTCTAGAAGCCTTTTTGTTTAGTTCTTCTTAACCAAACACTGCATCTTAAACAATCTCGATGGTAAAAAAAATATTGTTATTTATTAAAATATTAAGTTCGAATATTGATTATATACAAAAGTTTAATGTTAAATGATTGAAAATAATTTTAAACACATATTATTTTATATTTACCTACATTAATAAAAAAGGATAAAGTATATTAATGGTCACTGAACTTTTTTAAAGCTTTTATTTAAGTCTTCAACTTTTAAAACTTACAATACAATCCTTCAATATTTAGTCTATTTGCAATATGATTCCCACCGTTACACTGCCGTTAGTACATTTTCAATATGGTCACTAAACTTTTCAGGAACTTGCATTTAGGTCTCCTAACTTTTAAAACTTACAAAACAGTCATCAAATTCATTCTAAACTCCAAATTCATTTTCGATCTCGAATTTCCTTTTTCGATTCTCTCTTCTCATTTCTAGCGTAACTTTTTAGTCGGGGATGCATGGGAAATTATAATCTAACTTTGAATTATGTGGAGGTATTGAATAAGGAGTACTGAATATCTTTGATAAGGAGTACTAAAAGTTTTGATTAAGAAAAAAGAAAGAAAATTAGATGGTTTTGGTTCAAAACTAACACTGAATATCCAGATCATTGACATGCAATTCTAGAAACATAAAAATTTCAGTGACCATTACTATACTTTGCCCTAAAAAAATTAAGATAAGATAAACGCCTGCACGTCACCATGGATGTCTATTAAATTTAAATTGATATTTTGAGGATGTCTTGTAAAATTGAAATATAATTTTGATTATAATAGGATATTTATCTTAAAATTAAAAATTATGTAGATATGATTAATTAAGGACGATAATATTAAATAAATATAGGTACGTGACATGATTTAATAGGATAAAAATAAGATTTAAAAGATAATTTATTAGTTTGGTTCTCATTTTTACTTTTAAAAGTATTTTTTTATCAAATATAATCCTTTAACTATATTCTGTTAATAGATTTAGTCCTTTTATTTAACGTGGTTAAAAAATTATATAATTCTCCAATTAATTAGTAAGTGGCATGTAAAGGGTTAAATTAGAAAGAAACTTTTAAGGCATAAAATTTTTGTATCAAAGATACTTTAACATAAAATTTAGATAAAGTTTCATTATCAACCATTATAAAGTCTTCAAAGCTAGAGGTTAAGTTTGAATTGCTTCAGTTTAGTTGATTATACACTTAGAGGAATTGTTAAGCATCCAAATCATAAAGAAGGCATTTAAGGCCGCTAAAATTGTTTTCCAAGCTTTCTCCTCTGCAGAGGTTTTCAATCTACCCTCTCAATATTCCTAATTTTGACCCCTCAACCAAAGGTGGTTCCACTACGAAACTTTATTTGATACTGATAATCCAACATTTGCATAATTGTGATGGGAACGAAACATACATGCACATACTTACAGCACTTGTTTCTTCTTCTCTAATATCTTAGCGTTACAGAGATGATCTGTTAAACACATAAAGAACAGAACTCTAGCGTTTCTGGAAATTAAACAACTTTATGGACACGGTGAAGATGGCTCCAAATAGTACTGTAAAACCGATAATTATAGCTGCCACACCCCCAATGAATTCATGTCTGAAACCGAAATAACTTCTCAAGTTTTGTTCAACTGTCCGACCATCTTCGAGGACATCTGGAATGTCTCCGAACTGTGAAACAACCAGACCATACATTGTCCAAGATACCGGACAAATGTAATAGTAACATCTCCACCATTTGGGAATGATCTGTGATTTAAGGAGTTGGAAAGAGTGGAGGAAAATTAGTCGTTTCGAAAATGAGTGAATATCTCAACGACTTACGAAAACGACACTTACCGGTCGTGGGATTATGAATCCAGAGAACAAATCCCATATTCCGTAGAATGCCGATGAAACTATGGCTGAAATGTGGTGGTTTGGTGTGACAGCCACTGTCATCATGCCATAGAAGGTGATGTACAGTAAGGTGAAGTACATGAAGAAGAGAAACCAGAAGAACTTGGCAGCGGTCCATTTGAACGCGATCATCGTGTACACTATAAGGCCATACACAGCAGCTTGAACGAAAATATAAGGTATCTCAATTAAGACCTGCAGTTGCCAAGTGCGAAAGTCGGTTCTAATGTATTACATCTAGCACTACTTTCTTTCCAGAGTGAAAACTCTTCATAACAAAAACAGAAAGGAGAAAAACATGCCTGGGCAATGGCATATGGCATAGCAGAATACATTCCAGCAGCTCTTTCTCTATAAAAGACTGTCCGTTCAACCGCCACCACGGGCTGCACTGATGCACCATTTTGGATACCGAGGAAAAGAACAGCAGCATACATTGAACCCATTGCATTGACCAGATCTTGCCTCTTTTCCCTGTAATTTTACAATGTGACAGTTAGATATATGAATATGATTAAAGACCAACGGTGGAGTAGCTTACGTTCTCGTCCCAAGATCCCAGAACAGTGTCCAGAACATCAATGCTATGACGGTCGTAAAAAATAATCTCACTGCAGTATAAGCAGGGTTGCGCCAATATGACCAACGCTGCTTCCATAAACAGGCTGCACACTGAGTCAAGAATGGCTGAGAGAACTGAGTGGGAAAATAGAGTTCCTTCGAACCAGGAGCAGGTTTGCTTAAATCTTTAATAAGATCCTTGTTTCTCCTGAACAAATGGCATTCATCAGTTTAAATTTAAGGTCATATATAGATCCCATGCTGAATGAAACCAAACTGATTCATGTAATGTTGATTATTACCTGTACAAGTCTGACTTTCCATATATATCAGCAAAATCAACTCCTAAAGCTAATTCCTGAGCTGTTGTGGTAACTTCCAACATCCAAGCTGCTGGATTGTAGCAATCTTTGATTTTGCTAACTCCAATTCCCTGAACAAGATGAAAGAATATCATGTCATAGATATAGTCCATATGAGCCAAGAAACGAATAAGCCGACAAACTTAGTCACTTCTGGTATTTCATTTCATCTCACCTCGAAATAATCGATAAGATGTTTAGAATGGTGTCCTAGTGGCCCCACATATATCTCTTGTCCTCCTCTCTTCATAAGGAACAGCTGCAATAGCATATTCATTTAGTTATACAATTACACTGAACTGAATTGTTTTCGAACTAACATGGTTCTCACCTCATCAAATGCTTCGAATATGTCGATACTTGGCTGATGAATGGTGCACACAACTGTTCTTCCAGTGTCCACTGTGTTCCTAACTGCTCTCATAACAATTGCAGCAGCTCTTGCATCAAGCCCTGAAGTTGGTTCATCCATGAAAATGATAGAGGGATTTGCTACAAGCTCAACCGCTATAGTAAGCCTTTTTCGCTGCTCAGTTGATAAACCATTTACACTAGGTAAACCAACTTGTGCTTGCCTCAATGGATTCAGTTCCACAAGATCCATGACTTCGTCTATGAACATCTGATAACATAGTATTAAATAAAATCAACAACTAAATTTGAGCAAAAGTATTCGTTAGGACAACAACGTGTTATTTTGTTGGCTTCTGTTGTCGGGATCATTAGGAAAATGTATTATTGCCCGAGTAAAAACTTCTTGTAGAAAAGTATAGAAAGAGACTTGAAAAGGCTTAACGTTTCATGAATGCCAACCTTTCTGGTTTCAGCACCAACTTCTTTTGGTAGTCGAAGCCAAGCAGAATAGAGCAAGGATTCATACACAGTGACATGAGGAGAGTGAATGTCATTTTGCTCACAATATCCCGATACTCGAGCAAATGTTTCTTGCTTCTTCGGGAAACCTGAAACATTGATGTTCCCCTCAATGTAACCACCAGTTTTTCTGCCAGCAAGCACATCCATCAGAGTGGTTTTACCAGCACCACTGACACCCATGAGAGCCGTGAGAACGCCTGGTCTGAAAGAACCACTAACACCCTTCAATAGCACCAATTTATCTTCATTGGCACCTTGTTCTTTTATTTCCTGTAATTTCAAACAATCCAATAAACTCTCTTTTTTGGACACATTAACTGAACAGGTATATGATATTCATACATGGAATCTTATGTTACCTGCGGCATATCAACTGAATAGATAACATCGTCAAATGCAATTGAATGTGGCTCAAACGGAAGAACCATCCCCTTTTTCTTGTTCCCGATGGTAGCCTCGGACACAGACAATGACTTGGATGAGATGCTTCTTTGAGTGTCTCTTGAACCTCTGCATTTCAGTTATATTTAGAATGTACACAATGGCTTGTACACAAAACCCAAGGATACAAAAACTAAACGAAACCTAGTACCTGATCTAGTTATACTGCTTGAGCTACTTCCATTGTTTGATAACTGAAGCTTGTCACCAACTCCATCGGTTTGCTCAATCTCTTCTGGTGTTTCTGATATTACAGCCTGATTCTTCTCGAATGCTGCATATTTATTTGCAAAAAGGTAAAAGATTAGCTCTTCCTTCTAAAGAAGCATAAATTTAAGACTTTAAGTAGGTGTCAATAAAGCTATACTCACGCTTTAGATAGGCAAGGGCCAGAGTATACAAGAAGTTGAACAATACTATGAATCCAAGCAATCCTCCTACTTCGAACCAATACCAATTCGGATCATGGAAGAAACCCCTAGATTTCAAAACTTTAATTCCCAGTGATTCATTTGAGCCCGGAAGAATCTTCAATATGAAACAAAATCTTAAATATCAGCAGATCGTTAAGAGATAAATCGAAAAATCGATAGACATTGCAAATTCGAAGCATTACTCGTCTCCACTGGTTTCCTAGGAATTCATTAACCATCAATGCATTTTGTCCATACATCATAGGCGAAATCCAGTATCCCCATATCCGCCATTTCTTTATGTCCTCTGTAACATTAAACAAAGAAAATCAAATATGAATTTTCATTTTTATCAAAATTTTGATTTTTTGGTGATATGTCCAAGACTTCTCATTCATACCTCGCGACAGGATAAAGCCACCCAATGCAAAAAGTATGAGCAAGGCAAATGCCCCGAAAGTGTTAGCAACGACCATGTTTCTACCAGCTGCACCAATAAATCGGAACAATCCCGAAACCATCTGATTAACTAAAACAAGGATGACGTACTGCTTAAACAACCTGTACCAGAAAAAAAACTTTCACCTCAATTTCGATCAGAGTTAGTAAACAAGCAATGGTACTATAAATGGTACTAGTCAAGTTCCCCTCGGAGTTTTTATCATCTATTCGTTTCTTTACCTTCCAACATTCGGATCCAATCCAATGACATAGTAGGTAAGAAATACCCATACGGAAACTTCTGCAAATGAGACAGGGATCTTGAGTATCCATGTTGGTAGAGCATAGGCCCATGTAGGAAAGAATAGGAGGTCTCTCTGCTTATAGACGGGAAGCTTAGCAATCGTCATCGAAATCTCCGCCATCCCATTAAACATGATTGTAGCCAAGCCGAAAAACAAGGCCCCCATATAGATTCCTCCCCCTACGACCGAATCGCATCTCATCTCGGTCCTCAGAAAGAGTGTCATGGTAATGAATGCCATCACTGTGAGCTGGTAGCACAAAAATAAATAAATAAATAAAGTTAAGAGTCACAGTTTAAACCTTAATAATGGTGGTACAATAATTGATTTTCATTAGTACATACTTCTATAAACTTGAAAATGTAAACGAAAGAGTTTCTCTTCATCAGAAGATATTCCCTGGATATGCAAGCTTTTAGCAACTCTTTCTTTCCAACACCATACATTTTGGTCGTCAAAGCAGCTGGATGGCTCTTTGTTTTCTCATACGGAACACCAAGTTCATCTCTGAGTTTCTTTCCCAAGTGAAATGATTGGAATGCCTTGGAGAACTCATCGGCCGTGACGAATCTGTAAGGTTGATCTTTACGTACCCAATACTGCTTTTGATCTTTCCTTGATGTAACCTGCAATGAACATAGTCGAGTTAAATGTGACAGAAGAGCAACTTTGGTCCCAATGGACAATGGATTAAAACTTACTTCTTGCAAGAAGTCGGCCACACCTTTTCTCTCCGGACATTTGAACCCCATGTATTCGAAGAAACTCAGCACATCTTCACGAGGACCGTGATATACTATCCGACCATCGGAAAGTAGAATAATGTCATCAAAAAGATCATAAGTCTCTGGAGCTGGTTGGAGAAGAGAGATGACTGCAGTTTCATCAAGGATATGTACACTTTGCTTGAGGGAGTTCACTATTTGGAAAGTTGTAGAGCTGTCCAGACCAGTAGATATCTCATCCATAAACAGTACCTTTGCAGGTCCAACCATCAGTTCACCTAATTGGATTAACATTTTTATATTTCATGGTAAGAAATTCAGGGTATTTACAGATTGAATGAATGGTTAATTTGATATCATGAATTACCTGTTGTGACACGCTTCCTGTAACACCCCAACCCGTATCCGACCCGGATACGAGTCCGACGTGTCACATTGACTTTTCAAACCTTGACTCTTAAGAAAAATCCCGGGAAATTTAAAACTTTATTTAAAACAAAATACAGACTTTATCAGAGTGCTCGTACTTAATGACTTATTACATGCCAACACTTTATACATAACCAAATACATACTTTGTCAAATATTTCTGATCTGATCTTTTAGTAGTAATACTGTCTTTGTCACTTCTATTCTTTCACTTCTCGTTTCTTGGTACCTACGTGTAAATCACTTACACGCTAAGTCATAGACTTAGTGAGACGTATAAAACATATAATATAACCATATATCATTTCATATAAATAAAAGACATACATATGCAAACACTATCAATAATCCTTTCCACTTACCATATACTCATCATATAACACATATATCACTATACCCAGAAACACACATAACATCATATAATTCATGTATGTGCATTCATATCATTGAATCATGACATATCAATATGCATGAATCTATTGTATGATAACAATATACAATCAGGTCATGCACACATGCAACTTACCTTCTTGTATCACTTTCACTTTCATTTGTCTTTCAATTTCATTGCCCATGTATATTATTGAGAATAGAGGTATGTGAGTACATTGAGGTTGTGCACTAATGCTGTCACCACAGCTCGCATAAATTCCCTCATGGGGCACCGAACATTCGTTCAGTATTCGTCCCGAAGGACCTGTCCAGAGGTTACAAAGAACCCCGGTAACTATCCAGAGGTCATAAAGATCCTCGGCAACTATCCATATGTTCCTTTCAACATAGGTAAACCCTCGACTCTTGGCATGCCAACTATACCTATAGCTCTCGTATCATATACTATGAGCATTTATTTATACATTTCGTATCACTTGTTCTTTCTCTTCTGTCACATACCACATGTATGTGTAACCATATATCTCATATCATATCACATGTATTATATACATGTATTCACGTAAATCATTTCATGTAATTCATATCACATATATCACATGTGCATATAAGCTTATAGCTTCTTTCACATATACATGTAGTCACATAGCTTTCTTTCATGTAACCATGCATGTCATGTCAAATAACATATATCATATGTTGCATTTTCACTTAAGCATATAAATCATATAACATAGCATCCATCTATTTCTATGTATTAATGCATACATGGTAATCACATAACAATTTAGAAGTTACTTCTTACCATAGTAACTCCATCACTGGCTCATCGCAAGCCAATGTTAATTCAATAAAATAAGTACAAAATAATTTGCACTCACCTTAGATTTGCTTTGATTCGATTCTAATCCTTCAATTGTTTTTGAATGGGATCACGTTCTATATCTACATAATCATTCATAGATCTATATCAGTATTATAACTAATATACTCTAATGGTTCACTCCTTAGACTAAGAAAAATGCCAATTTCATCTTTTAATGAAAGTATGCATCGATGCACTACTGATGCATCGGTGCATAAAATGCATTCGATGTTGTATTATCACTGGGATGCATCGATGCATGCCTTATGCATCGATGCACTAATTGCATTCGATGTTTCTATTTTAAAAGAGTGCATCGATGCACTACCTATGCATCGATACACCTTCAAACAAAATTCTGGGTTTTAACCTTGATGCATCGATGCACAATGAATATGCATCGATGCACTCTGCCCAGAATCCTCTTTTTGAACCCGAAAATCATTCATTTTGGATTAAATCCTTCATGTTTCATCCCCTTTTTCATTCTTAACTCTAGTACACATACTTAAAACAATCTATACTCATTTATTTCATCTTAAACCTCAAAATCCTATCTTCCATATGTAATTCAATAATTACATCAATTTTGCAACATGTTTCAAATCCAATTATATTACTTCATATCTCTTACTTAGATTGATGGCAAGTCAAATCCAACTTTCAATTCTTATTATAAACTCTATTTCAAGATTTCATTCAAGAACCACTAATCTTTAATCTTATCTATCTCTTTTATCTTTTGATTTTAGGACAACCTAAGCTTTCCATAATCTTAAGTATTACTTAAGGATCAAAACCCACTCTTAAAATCAACAAATCATCAGCTAACAAGGAATCTTACCTTTGCCTTGGAGCTTTCACGGGAGGAAAAAGAAAATGAAGAAGAAAAGAGAGAAGAGATTTCTAGAAAATCTCTCATCCTTATCCATATATATATATCATTATTTAATTCATCTCTTGGTCAAATGACCCTTTTGCCCTTTAATACCTTTTATAATTACTAACATCTTTTAGGATTTATTTCCAGATAAATCATTGAACTAATCCATTCTTCTACTTTAATCACCAAATTCTGAAACTTTATAATTTGGTCACTAACCCGGTATTGAGGATGTTACAAATCTCCCCTCATTTAAAGAAAATTCGTCCTTGAATTTTCACTGAACAAATCAATAAGAACATATCTTTTCATTCGTGTTCATATACTTTTTCCTATCTTACTTATACTTATCCCTGATTATCAATCTTCATCACATCTTAATAACTTTGATAAGCAGCTTCACTTATACAGAACCTCATTCTTTACCATCTTTTGTACTTGGTATTATTATTATTATTATTATTTTCTTCCTCAAAACTCCCTTTTGAACCTGTAAATACTTTTCTCATTGACTTCATCATATCTATATACTCCAAATACCTAACCATATTTCAAATCCATGTCATACTTGATTAATTCACTTTATTTTTTCTTCCAATCTTATTACTCTATCACCTTTACTCTTACAGCTAGTCAATAACAACTGTTCAATCTAGGGCACACGCCCTACTCAATTAATTATATATATTAATTTTTTTTACCATATTTTAATTCCACCGCATAGTAACTAAATTACTTTATCTAACTTTTCCACTTTGAAATAGTAGAGATCCTCTAACATTATCCGATTGCACATTAAATTTTTGAACACAATCCTCAACTTTTAATCTAGGTTACGACCCTTATCAACTTGATCCTATACATTCTTTTTCCATTGAAATTTCCCTTAAATATATCTTATGCGCACATAATATTATTCAACTGTTCCAAAATCAAACATTGTAACTTCCTTTGTCTTATAAATTGTTCACCGACATACTCATTCTCACACTTTTCTATTACTCTTTATATTCTCTTGAACATTCAAATCATTATCTCTTTCACTACATCACATTACATAATTAAAATATACATTGTATTCGAATCCATTTCATAATTGGCTATCATAACCTGACAATATCTTATAATTCCAATACATTTCCATCACCTAATTTTGTAAGCCATTGCTAACTCTTTCCATTTATAATGCAAATCACTTATCATATTCACTCTCTTGCTTATATACAATACTATTTACACATCTACTATTCCTTTTTACGTATCACCTCTTCAATAAATCTTTCGTATTATCATAAACTTCACTTCATTACTTTAATTCTTTCATCACCTTTTTCCTTATGCTTTTACATTCCTTTCATATCATTTATACTTTTCCTTCTTTATCTTTTTAACTTCTCAATCAATCCTTAGTTTCCGTCAAACATACAAATCCTTTAACTTAATACATTTACTATCACACTACTTTATTATTTAACTTATTTCTTTCAATCAAAACATAAACCTTCATCAAACTATCCTTATATTTATTCTTCCCCGTCAAAGTAATTCATTCACTATTTTCATCACTTATCAAACCTTCATTCGCATTTGTCCATAATAAAATTCCTTTGGTTCAAATTCAACCATTCTATTTACCTTTGTCTTATACATAACTAAACCATATCATGTCTTTCATACTCCCATGCCCTTTTATATCACATATATTTATCATTAACTCTCACTTCTTATCACATTTTCATGACTTTGGTAGTCAACTTTACTTGCACAAAACCTTATTCTTTATCATTCTTATACTTATGTTTTCTCCACTTGTTTCCAATCACCTGATTTCAATACTCATCTTATTCCTTTAAAATAATTTTCCGGCTTCAATTTTTTTTTTATAACTTCTAACAGAGCTTTTAACCCAATTCACAAAGGTTGTCTTTAACCCTGACTTGTTATCAATTAACTCCTTGTTTAATCTTTCAGGATCAAACCCTACTTCTTGAGTCTGTTGGACTCTCATCTGATTTAATTCCCTGGCAGATAATACAACTAATTCATATCAGGTTTAAAGTTGAAAACCAGAATCTCTAGCTTTCTGTGACGGTGCTTAACTCTATGAAGCACTAATTTTCTTAATCATTGGAGATTTATGTTCTTCAATCCTTCCATAACAATGGAACATTTATCAAATTCATCCTTGAACTCGGGTGTTCTCAACTCTTTTCGATACATTCATTCTATGAATTATATAAATATAAAATTAAAACACATCATAATATCATTTAACATCATAAAACATTTTCTAATCTTGTACAGGCACGCCCTGAGGTTTTTCGCTCTTCTCCCTGCCTGGCCAGGGCAGGTGAATGCGACCTTCAGTCTATTGCCTTGTGTTTCACTTTGGAAACTCTCATATTTTTCACGTGCTCATATCATTTCTTCTATCACATATCACGTGTGCATATGCTCATCCAATTCATATTATATATAACATATGTCAATTGCATATGTTCACATATCATCCATCATATCATATAAACATATATATAAATTTCATAAATCATTCTCTGGTATTCACATATCTTATTTAATATAACAAGACATCACACTCCTTACCCTATCAGATCAGAAATTTTCACTCTATATTGGCATGTACACATTTTAAAAACTCATTTGACTTCGGTTTAAGCCTAGAATCGGCTAAACCATAGCTCTGATACCATTAAATGTAACACCCCAACCCGTATCCGACCCGGATACGAGTCTGACGTGTCACATTGACTTTTCAAACCTTGACTCTAAAGAAAAATCCCGGGAAATTTAAAACTTTATTTAAAACAAAATGCAGACTTTATCAGAGTGCTCGTACTTAATGACTTATTACATGCCAACACTTTATACATAACCAAATACATACTTTGTCAAATATTTCTGATCTGATCTTTTAGTAGTGATACTGTCTTTGCCACTTCTATTCTTTCACTTCTCGTTTCTTGGTACCTACGTGTAAATCACTTACACGCTAAGTCATAGACTTAGTGAGGCATATAAAACATATAATATAACCATATATCATTTCATATAAATAAAAGACATACATATGCAAACACTATCAATAATCCTTTCCACTTACCTTATACTCATCATATAACACATATATCACTATACCCAGAAACACACATAACATCATATAATTCATGTATGTGCATTCATATCATTGAATCATGACATATCAATATGCATGAATCTATTGTATGATAACAATATACAATCAGGTCATGCACACATGCAACTTACCTTCTTGTATCACTTTCACTTTCATTTGTCTTTCAATTTCATTGCCCATGTATATTATTGAAAATAGAGGTATGTGAGTACATTGAGGTTATGCACTAATGTTGTCACCACAGCTCGTATAAATTCCCTCATGGGGCACCGAACATTCGTTCAGTATTCGTCCCGAAGGACCTATCCAGAGGTTACAAAGAACCCCGGTAACTATCCAGAGGTCATAAAGATCCTCGGCAACTATCCATATGTTCCTTTCAACATAGGTAAACCCTCGACTCTTGGCATGCCAACTATACCTATAGCTCTCGTATCATATACTATGGGCATTTATTTATACATTTTGTATCACTTGTTCTTTCTCTTCTGTCACATACCACATGTATGTGTAACCATATATCTCATATCATATCACATGTATTATATATACATGCATTCACGTAAATCATTTCATGTAATTCATATCACATATATCACATGTGCATATAAGCTTATAGCTTCTTTCACATATACATGTAGTCATATAGCTTTCTTTCATGTAACCATGCATGTCATGTCAAATAACATATATCATATGTTGCATTTTCACTTAAGCATATAAATCATATAACATAGCATCCATCTATTTCTATGTATTAATGCATACATGGTAATCACATAACAATTTAGAAGTTACTTCTTACCATAGTAACTACATCACTGGCTCATCGCAAGCCAATGTTAATTCAATAAAATAAGTACAAAATAATTTGCACTCTTCTTAGCTTTGCTTTGATTCGATTCTAATCCTTCAATTGTTTCTGAATGGGATCACGTTCTATATCTACATAATCATTCATAGATCTATATCAGTATTATAACTAATATACTCTAATGGTTCACTCCTTAGACTAAGAAAAATGCCAATTTCATCTTTCAATGAAAGTATGCATCGATGTACTACTGATGCATCGGTGCATAAAATGCATTCGATGTTGTATTATCACTGGGATGCATCGATGCATGCCTTATGCATCGATGCACTAATTGCATTCGATGTTTCTATTTTAAAAGAGTGCATCGATGCACTACCTATGCATCAATACACCTTCAAACAAAATTCTGGGTTTTAACCTTGATGCATCGATGCACAATGAATATGCATCGATGCACTCTGCCCAGAATCCTCTTTTTGAACCCGAAAATCATTCATTTTGGATTAAATCCTTCATGTTTCATCCCCTTTTTCATTCTTAACTCTAGTACACATACTTAAAACAATCTATACTCATTTATTTCATCTTAAACCTCAAAATCCTATCTTCCATATGTAATTCAATAATTACATCAATTTTGCAACATGTTTCAAATCCAATTATATTACTTCATATCTCTTACTTAGATTGATGACAAGTCAAATCCAACTTTCAATTCTTATTATAAACTCTATTTTAAGATTTCATTCAAGAACCACTAATCTTTAATCTTCTCTATCTCCTTTATCTTTTGATTTTAGGACAACCTAAGCTTTCCATAATCTTAAGTATTACCTAAGGATCAAAACCCACTCTTAAAATCAACAAATCATCAGCTAACAAGGAATCTTACCTTTACCTTGGAGCTTTCACGGGAGGAAAAAAAGAAAATGAAGAAGAAAAGAGAGAAGATATTTCTGGAAAATCTCTCATCCTTATCCATATATATATATATCATTATTTAATTCATCTCTTTGGTCAAATGACCCTTTTGCCCTTTAATACCTTTTATAATTACTAACATCTTTTAGGATTTATTTCCAGATAAATCATTGAACTAATCCATTCTTCTACTTTAATCACCAAATTCTAAAACTTTATAATTTGGTCACTAACCCGGTATTGAGGATGTTACACTTCCTCTGTCCTCCAGAGATACCCCTTAACATTTCATCTCCTACCATGGTGTCTGCACATACTTCCAGTCCTAAAACCTTTATAATATAGTCGGTGATTACATTTGCTTCCTGACCTTCTGTTGCTACTGCCTGGAATATTAGAAAAGACAAAGCAAATTGTCATGAATGTGCGGTTATATGTGGTATATGTCTAGAGTTTAGATGAACATAGCGTTCGATAGATTATGCATGAATTGTTTGCATAATTTTTGTTTATGTTCGTTTATTAAGCTAAATAAACGAGTATGAACAAAATTTGTATGTTCATTTAATAAACCAACGAGCACGAACAAAAGTGTGTTTGTTCCGTTTATGTTCACAAAAAAGTTCATTTATAAGCTTGTTTATCCAGTTTTCCTTTTCCTTTTATTTTTTAAATTTTAAATATTGGTGAAAATAGAAACTAAATTGAACATAGTGAATTATAGAGTTCAAACTGTGAAACATAAGGAACTAAAGGACTAGTGACGCAATTTCACCATTTCTAAACATATTTAGAAACATACAAAAAACATTTTGGCAAACAATAAATGAATATGAACACGAATATCTTCAAAAATAAATAAACGAACATAAACATGATATTAAAAATTTAGAGGAAGACCATTCAAACATGAATACATTCAAACAGAAAAATGAACACTGACCTTATTCGTTAAAACTCGGTTTATTTACACCCGTGTATATATATATATATGCCTAAATATTGCAATGGTACTTTAGTTCTTAGTTCTTACCTTCATGAAGACATCCATATCAGGATCAGGTTTAATGTTGGATCGTTTCTTTCTTCTTGACAACTCTTCTAACATATCTGTACCCCCCCCAAACAACAAATTTCATGCTTTGAAGGGTAAAAAGAAGCATTCTTTTGGTACAAAAATGGCTGGAAATCAATCAAACTTACCATAACGATCTCCTACCCCTTGGCATCTAGCAGAAAAGGCCAAAGTTTCCCTCACGGTCATTTCTCCAATGTGAAGGTCATGTTGACTGATATAGGCAGCTGTTCTTTGTGGCACAAACTCATCAATGCCATGCCCGTTGTAAGTCACCGTCCCCGAAAACTACAAGAGGAACTCACTCTCAAATTAGAAATCAAAATAATGAAAAATGAATTTAATTAATATCATTTGAAAGAAAAGTGAATTTTGTCAAACACCTTGAGTGCAGGATCAAGCTTCCCAGCTAAAGCCAACAAGAGAGTAGTTTTCCCAGAACTTGGAGGACCCAAAAGCAATGTCATCCTTTAATAATAAACGAGAACAACAATGATTTTAGTTTCTGGATAAAAATACAAGATTCATATATCGCCATTGTTATACCTGCCCGGTTTAATGATGCCACTGACATCATTGAGGATGGTCAGCTTTTTCTTTCTACTAGGAAGAATACCAATATGATTCAAGAATCCCTGTGATCCGAATACAAATTGAAACATGAGATATATCCTAAGAAAACAAATGGTTAAATTACACCATAGATCATTTAACTATGGGGAGATTTCAATTAAACCATCGATCTTTCAATTTTATCAATCAAACTATTTAATTGTATAAATGATATCAATCACACTACTTATCGTTAACATTTAAAGTAAAAATTAATGTGTTAGTTAATAAAATTGGTATAATTATACATTTGATTCTTAATACTTGCACGTTTTTCAATTTAATCTTAATTTTAATTTAATTTAATTTAATAATTTAAATCCTTTAATCATAATAAATATTATGATCATAAGAATGAATTTATTGAACTAAATTAAAATTAAGATCAAATTGATAAAATTTATAAATATTGAAAATTAAATATATAATAATACTAATTTTAATAATTATCATGCAAGAAGAAATAACTTAGTTAATATCATTTAAATAATTAAATAACCTGATTAATAAAATTAAAATATCAAATTAAAATTTCCTATAAAGTATTTTTTCCAAAACAAAACTATGAAGTGGTAAGAGTCTTTTCTTTTTGCAGGTTGCTACCTCAAATATACCAGTGGTGAAATTAAGAACTGTAGGCAAAGCACTGGTTCCAACAAAAGCTTGAGCTTCAATATTCAGATGTTCAAACCGGACTTCAATCGTGGGAAGATCAATGCCAACCCTGAAAAGAAAACAGGATCTTTAACTCTTTCCATTTCATTTTCCTGGTAACCAAACATGAAAAATAAAAAAGTAGGAAAATTTGATACCTAGCTATACGGTTCTTGAGCTTCAACAAGAACTTCTCATTATCTTCCTCTGTTACTTTGATCAACCTCTCCAGCAAAGCCCGCCGTGTTGAAATTATTAAAATGGTTTTCAAGTTTGGTAACCAACTTTGAAAAAATGGTTTTCAAAGTTTGGTAAATGTTTATTTGAAAAATAGTTTTTCAAAGTTTGGTAGATGTTTGTTGAAAAATGATAATGGGATAATCATAATTAATCCCTAGGCTTTAGGGTATTTACAAGATTAAGTCCTTAAGTTTCAACTATAAATACCCTAGCTCATTTAGCTTCAAAACCATCCCAAAAATCATTTCTTTCTCCCAATACTAGAGAGTTTTCTTGTGAGTAGTGAGTGTGTTGTAAACACCTGTAAATTTTTTCTCTTAGTAAAAGATCTGCAGCAGTCCGGAGACGTAAGCACAATTGGCTGAACTCCGTTATCAATTTCGGGTATTATTTTTCTGCTTTTATTTCGTATTCTCACTAATCTGACTATAGGAAAATTACTTGTTACTCGTTTATTTCCTAACAACTGGTATCAAAGCTTTTGGTTGTGAATTCTGTCAATTTTTTACGGGGTTACTATTCACGTGAATAGTGAATTTCGTGAATAGTGAAATTCGATCGGCGACACGAGTTTGTCGACGGAGGTGTTCTAATACACGGCGGTTCGCAGAAATTGTCAGAAACGATCCAAACGAAGCTATATTCGAGTGGGAGCGATGGCTGCAGACGAATGGAAGGTGAAAATTGAAAAGTTCGATGGTGCGGACTTTGGATTTTGGAAGATGCAAATTGAAGATTTTCTATACCAGAAAAATCTATATCAACCCCTCTCAGGAAAACAACCAGAGGGCATGAAGAATGAAGTCTGGGATATTCTCGACAGACAAGCCCTCGGAGTTATCCGACTGGCGTTATCCCGCAATGTTGCTTTCAACATAGCAAAGGAAAAGACCACGGCAGTTCTTATGACGACTCTCTCCAGTATGTATGAGAAGCCATCAGCCTCAAACAAAGTTCATTTTATGAGGCGATTATTTAATTTGCGGATGACGGAATGGGCATCGATGGCACAACACCTAAATGAACTCAACACAATCACAACCCAGTTGAGTTCAGTGGAAATTGAATTTGATGATGAAGTTCGAGCTTTAATTCTCTTATCATCTTTACCAGACAGTTGGAATGCTACTGTTACAGCAGTCAGCAGTTCGTCGGGAAACAACAAATTAAAATTCGACGATGTTCAGGATCTGGTACTGAGCAAAGAAATTCGACAGAGAGAATCGGGTGAAGCATCAACCTCCTCAGCCTTGCACATGGAGTCCAAAGGGAGAACTTCAAAAAGAAATTCAAATCGTGGCAGATCGAAATCCAGAAGGGGAAAATCAAGAACATGAAATAAAGATTTTACCTGTTATAATTGCGGCAAGAAGGGCCACTTCAAAAGAGATTGCCGAGCACCGAAGAAAAATATCGGCGCACAGGAATCTGCCAACATGACGGAGGAGACAGGTGATGCTATGATTTTAAGCGTCAACAGTCCGATTAAATCATGGATTTTGGATTCAGGGGCATCTTTCCACTCTACGCCATGCCAAGAAATCATGGAGAACTATGTCAGTGGTGATTTTGGGAAGGTTCATCTTGCTGATGATGAAACCTTGAAGATCGTCGGAAAAGGAGACATCCGACTAAAGCTGCCAAACCAGACCACCTGGAAGCTGACAGAAGTGAGACATATTCCTGGTCTAAAAAGAAATTTGATTTCTGTAGGACAGCTTGATGGAGAAGGATACAGTACAACCTTTTCAGGCTGTGAATGGAAGATTACCAAAGGAGCACTCGTCATTGCTCGTGGTAAGAAGACTGATACTCTCTATGTAACCTCAAATTTAGAGAATATCATTGCAGTAGCAGATGTTGATGGAAAATCAAACCTATGGCACCAAAGGCTTGGCCATATGAGCGAGAAAGGAATGAAGATACTTCTGTCAAAAGGGAAGCTGCCGGATCTAAAGAATGTAGATGTCGGACTATGCGAGGATTGCATCTTTGGCAAGCAAAAGAAAGTCAGTTTTGCAAAGATTGACAAGACACCCAAGGCAGAAAGGTTAGAATTGGTTCATATTGATGTATGGGGACCATCCCCAATTCCATCTCTTGCAGGCTCACTATATTATGTCACCTTCATCGATGATTCAACAAGGAAGGTGTGGGTTTATTTTCTGAAGAAGAAATCAGAAGTCTTCGATACCTTCAGAAAATGGAAGGCCATGGTGGAAAATGAGACTGGTTTAAAAGTCAAGCGGTTGAGGTCTGACAATGGAGGATAGTACAGAGATAGTAGATTCAGAGATTTCTGCGCAAACAATGAGATCAAGATGGAGACAACAGTTCCCATAACACCATAGCAGAATGGTATAGCAGAGCGCATGAACAGAACTCTGAATGAACGTGCCAGAAGCATGAGGATACATGCCAGATTGCCCAAATTTCTATGGGCTGAAGCTATCAACACTGCAGCTTACCTGATCAACCGTGGGCCCTCAGTTCCTTTGGATGGCAGAATACCAGAGGAAGCTTGGAGCAAGAAAGAAATAAACCTTTCACACTTAAGAGTGTTTGGTTGTATTTCTTATGTACACATAAACTCTGCTGAAAGAAGTAAACTTGATGCCAAGTCCAACAAATGCGTATTTGTTGGTTACGGTGGTGATGAGTTTGGTTACCGGTTTTGGGACTACGAAAATCAGAAGATCATTAGAAGCAGATACGTCATTTTCAATGAAAATGTGATGTACAAAGATAGGTCAACCGCAGAATCAAGTAATATCGAAGCTGAAACAAAGGAATTTGCTGAGTTCGAGGAGATTTCTGGAAATGATGTTCAGATCAGTCCTGAAGCAGTTCAAGAGGAAGAACCAGGCACACCAGAACTGAGACGCTCCTCCAGAATTCCTAAACCAACCCAACAGTATTCTCTTTCTTTGCACTACTTGTTGCTGACTGACAATGGTGAACCAGAGTGCTATGATGAAGCAATGCAAGTGGAGGATTCAGTCAAGTGGGAGTCTTCCATGAAAGATTAGATGGACTCGCTTATGTCAAATCAGACGTGGGGATTAGCTGAATTACCACCAGGCAAGAAAGCGCTCCATAACAAGTGGATTTACAGGATCAAAGAAGAGCACGATGGGAGAAAACGCTATAAAGCAAGATTGGTTGTCAAAGGTTTTCAACAAAAAGAATGTATTGATTACAATGAAATTTTCTCTCCAGTCGTGAAGCTATCTACAATCAGACTGGTGTTGAAAATTGTAGCTGCAGAGAATTTACATCTTGAGCAGTTAGATGTAAAGACACCTTTCCTTCATGGTTATTTGGAGAAAGAAATCTATATGAGGCAGCCAGAAGGCTTCATAGAGGTAGGCAAGAAAAACCTGGTATGCAGGTTGAAGAAGAGTTTGTATGGTTTAAAACAAGCTCCTAGACAGTGGTACAAGAAGTTTGATAGTTTCATGAGTAGCAGTGGTTTTACCAGATGCCAAACAGATCATTGTTGCTACATCAAGAGGTTCGAAAATAGCTTCATTATTTTATTGTTGTACGTTGATGACATGCTCGTTGCAGACTCAAACATGCAAGAGGTTATAAACTTGAAGCAAAAATTGTCAAAGCAGTTTGCTATGAAGGATCTGGGCGCTGCAAAGCAGATTCTTGGGATGAGGATCAAGAGAGACACAAAGTCGGGGACTTTGATATTATCACAGGCTGAGTACATCAACAAAGTACTCTCCAGGTTCAACATGCAAGATGCTAAACCAGTAAGTACACCTTTAGGTGTTCATTTCAGACTCTCCAAAGAACAGTCACCAAAGACGGAGGAAGAACGTGTACACATGGTGAAGGTGTCGTATGCCTCAGCAATTGGAAGTCTGATGTATGCCATGGTTTGTACCAGACCAGATATTGCTCAAGCAGTGGGAGCTGTTAGCAGGCACATGAATAATCCGGGCAAGGTACACTGGGAAGCAGTCAAATGGATCCTCAGATATCTGCGGGGTACCACAAACAAAACACTTTGTTTCAAAGGTGGAGATACGATACTGACAGGCTATGTAAATGCTGACTTAGCTGGAAATGTTGACATCAGAAGGAGCACTACAGGGTATGTCTATACTCTAGGAGGAACCACAGTGAGTTGGGTTTCTCAACTACAGAAGATAGTTGCTCTCTCCACAACTGAAGCAGAATATGTCGCTGTTACGGAAGCCAGCAAGGAGATGATTTGGCTCCAAAGTTTCTTGGAAGAGTTAGGCAAGAAACAAGAAAACAATGTCTTGTATTGCGACAGTCAAAGTGCTATACATCTAGCAAAGAATCCGTCTTTTCATTCTAGGACAAAGCACATACAATTGCGATATCATTTTATCCGGTCTCTTCTGGAAGATGGGATTTTGAAACTTGAAAAGATCAGTGGAGCTCAAAATCTGGCAGATATGTTGACAAAGAAGGTGACTACAGACAAACTGAAGTTGTGTTCAACTTCAGTTGGCATGCTAGAGTAACAAGACTAGAAAAGCTGTTGCATTGATCGAGGTGTGAAGACAGATTAAAATCAGTCTTCAAGTGGGAGATTGTTGAAATTATTAAAATGGTTTTCAAGTTTGGTAACCAACTTTGAAAAAATGGTTTTCAAAGTTTGGTAAATGTTTATTTGAAAAATAGTTTTTCAAAGTTTGGTAGATGTTTGTTGAAAAATGATAATGGGATAATCACAATTAATCCCTAGGCTTTAGGGTATTTATAAGATTAAGTCCTTAAGTTTCAACTATAAATACCCTAGCTCATTTAGCTTCAAAACCATCCCAAAAATCATTTCTTTCTCCCAATACTAGAGAGTTTTCTTGTGAGTAGTGAGTGTTTTGTAAACACCTATAAATTTTCTCTCTTAGTAAAAGATCTGCAGCAGTCCGGAGACGTAAGCACAATTGGCTGAACTCTGTTATCAATTTCGGGTATTATTTTTCTGCTTTTATTTCGTATTCTCACTAATCTGACTATAGGGAAATTACTTGTTATTCGTTTATTTCCTAACACGCCGTTGTTGCCACCCGAGGTTACGAACATCGATTTCACCGGCGCCACCGTCGGAGCCGGTCAATATGCCTTTCCTGAGACGAGAAACAGTTGGTAGTTCCTCGAGTGCAGCCCACATTAAAGCTTCTTCATCATCAACTTCACGAGAAGACCTCGAAAATGCTTCTACTTCAGTGTTTCTCCATACGGAGGAACAACCTGATCGTAAACTCCTCGCTAAATGACTAGCCGCTCGGTAAATATCGCCATCCTCCATTGCCGGAATAAGCAAACACCCACCAAAGTTATATGAAAAACTTTCACGTTTTGGGAGCTTTAATCAATGAGTACAAAGAAAAATGATTATAGTTTTAGTTTTGAAAACGGAATCCACAAGAAAAGAGAACACAAACAGTACGTATGAAGTTGAAGAACTTGCTGGTGCATGAATATGAAGCAGGCTATTGCGCTATATATATAAGATTGATAACAATTCTTCTAGAAGCCTTAATTTTATTCGGTAATTTAAAAATTACTTTTTTAATAATTTTGTTAACAATTTTTAAGAAAAATAAAAAATTTCAGCAAATTTACGTAACCTCTATGTAAACAATCCTATCATCTATCAACATGAGACCTCATAAACTTAGGTGGCGTTTGATTGGCATGAATTTCTTGAAATTAGGAGAATTGGAATCTAATTCCACTACTTTCTCATATTTGGTTCAAGTTTTTCAAGGGAATTGGAATCTCTCATGGCTTCAACTTTCCATCAAATGAGGGAAAGTGAATTTCATCCATTCTATGATGGAATTCAATTCCCTTGTTGGAGAGAATTGAAATTTGACCATACTACACTCATCAATCTTTTGGTAACTTATTTATATATTGAATAAAAATATTTTTTTATTATTTCGGGTCGTGTTGGGTTTCTAATTCATATATTCGGGTCGGGTCGGGTGAAACTTTATTTTGGTCGGGTCGGATCGTTTTTTTAAGTGTGATGTTTGAGTCGGGTCGAGTTCGGGTTTTAGGGTGAAAAATACCCGACCCGAAAATATATATATAATTTTACCTTATATATTTAAGAATAATTACAATAATACTCTTCTATATATAATTTTTTCAATTAAGTCACTATTTTTATTGAATAAAAATAATTTTTTTATTATTTCGGGTAGGGTCGGATTTCTAATTCATATATTCGAGTCAGGTCGGTCAGTTTTTTTTAAGTGTGATATTCAGGTCGGGTCGGGTTCGGGTTTAGGGTGAAAAATACCCAACCCCCCCGACCCGACCAAAAAATATATAATTTTACCTTATATATTTAGGAATAATTATAATAATAACCCTCTCTATATATATTTCTTTCCAATTAAGTCATTGTTTTTATTGAATAAAAATAATTTTTTATTATTTCGGGTCGGGTTTCTAATTCATATATTCGGGTCAGGTCGGGTGAAACTTTATTTTAGTCGGGTCGGGTCTCGGATAGAGGTTCCCTTGTTCTCGGGTCAGGTCGGGTGGACCAAAAACCCGACCCAACCCAACCCATGGCCATCCCTAATTGGGATGATTTTTACTTATGATGTTTATTAGCATGATTTTTATAATTTATTTAAATGAATAATCAATCAATAAAATTAAAATTAAAATTTATTTTTTTTAAATTTTTATAATATATTGCTACATGTAATTTATAAAACAAACTAAAATTAAGCAAAAAAACAAGAAGGGCAATCCTTTCATTTTACATTACTGAAATCAAATTCATCTAACATGTCTGCAAACCAAACAGAATATGGAATTGGATTCCAATTCAATTTCCTGCCAACCAAACAGAATATGGAATTGGATTCCAATTCCCGACAGATTCCAATTCCCGATAGATTCTAATTCCTTCACAGATTCCAATTCCCTCATAAACATTCCAGCGAACCAAACGCCATGTAACCCCTTAGACTCTGCGTTTCGACTAAGTCTAGTGGATCACATACATGATTCTTAAAGACATTTTCTGAAACTGTTATTCAATCATTGTAAAATCACATTATAAATGACATGATATTATACTATCAAAACCCAACTTGTAAATATAATACCAATAAGTAATAAAATTAATTTAAAACATGTCTTTAAAATCAAAATCACAATAAACCAAACAGTAATAGTAAAAGTGTCATCATACTAAAATACAATACTTTAAAATAAGGTCCATGTCACCAAAATAAAGTCAACTAGCAAGATAAAACATTACAATCAGATATGTTGATCCTCCAAGTGCTCGAACTGAGATATCTAACCAACAGTATCTGAAAGGGAAAAAAACATTTTCGAAAGGTGAGCTAGGCTCAGTGTGTCCCAATATTACCTTAAAATCACAATAGGTACATTAAACAAATCATAGTCCAGTAAATCTCATAAATTCATAAAAGAGTTTAACTTTTGAAAATCATAGTTTAAACCCTTTTCTTGTACACCATCAGTAGTTCCCAAAGCTATTTTCCATATAGCTTACTTTAAGCACACAGCAAAAAGAAAGCCAACCTAAGGATAAGCTTTAGAGCTTGTATCCTTAGGCCCGTAAGTCCAAGTCCATATAGCTTACCCTAAGCACACAACAAGGGAAGCCAACCTAATGTATCTTGGGGCCCCAAGAGTCACATTAGGCCCATTATGTTTGTTAGCTTGATCAGAGCTATACTATTGTAATTCAATCCAAAAGTTTAATTGCACCGTGTCACAAATTCCATAAATCATCACATTAAATTGGTGCATCAATAAAACAGTAACCAAAGAACTCAGTGTACCTCATATTAAAACCAATAAAACAGTTCAGTAATAATTAGGGAACACACCTCGATAATAGGTTCAAATAGTAAATTTACTGATCGCTGGTTTCACCACGCTCTGCTACAGTTTTCGAACGTGGTTTAACTGATCTAGAAGAGTTGGGTCGAGCTGTCGAACGATCCAGAAAGTCTCTTATACCTTCAAATAATAATAATTTATCAGCCCCAAATCTTACTTAATTGTTCAAAGCTAAAATTCTTAAGTATATAAGTATTTTCAGGGTTTGACTATCAATTTGGAGGATTTTGAATCTGAATTTGGTCAAACGGATTGCGGAATCAGGACGTCGAAAAACATAAAGTATGACTTTTCGAAAATTTAAATTTTTGGTCAAAGTCAAAGTCAACCACTTTGACCATCGATTTGGAGGCCTTCGGGTTCGAATTTGACGAAACAAACTTCGGAAAGGGATTCAGGACGTCGAAAACTATTAGAATAGGTATACTCGGAAAAGATTAACGGTCGTTTAATGGTCGGTCAAAGCCATTTTAAGTTTTGATCAAAGGAGGTCAACTGTCACGGTCAACGGTCGGGACGGGTCAGACCGATTCAGACCGGTTCGAAACCGGTCAAATCGGTTTTCCAGCATCTCACTCTCCCTGCGGTGGCGCGTGAGACCACCTCCGGGGGTCTAAAAATTACGGAAAAATTTTCAAAAATTATTTTGAGCGATTTCGAGATACTTACAACGATCGGTTCAAATTTTTGAACGGCGGAGAGCTCGAATTTCAATTCGACCGAATCTTTAACTGTTCCACCTCCTCACGCGCCGTCGTCGACGGCGAACAAGGTTGACACCGGCGGACTCGCAACGACACAAGGAACACGATGGTGCAGGAGGTGTCATAAACAGAGCAACGATCGTGATGAATTTGAGATTTTCCCGGCGATCGAGCTAAATAAAACGTCGAGACTTTGACTGGAAATTCCCGACGTTTGGCAGCATTTCGCATCAATTAATTTGAAGGGTTTGTTTCTCGCTCGATGACGAACACAACGGTGGTTTTAAAACGACGATCGGAATCAGACGGCGTCAGGATCTAAGTCGGAAACCGGCGTAGGGGAAAGGAATTTGGGAGTGTGGTTTTCTGTTTTTGAAACAGAAACCACACGTATATAACATATAACCCCAAACTTACATAACTTTTTTGGTTAAATTCAGGGCTTAGTCCCTGAATTTTCTTTAACTCTAAAACAAGCTCAAAGTTTTACAATCTTTTAATTTAGTCCCCAAATTTTTGCCAATTTTCACAATTAACCTCCAATTTCAATTAAATACTATTTTGTAAATATTCGGGTTGTTACAATTCTCCCCCTCTATAAGAAATTTCGTCCTCGAAATTTACCTTATAAGAATAGTTGAGGAAACTGAGCCTCCATTGACTCCAATATCTCTCAAGTAGCTTCTGAGGGGCCTCGGTTACTCCATTGAACTTTGACTATTGGAATACGCCTATTCCGAAGAACTCGCTCATCTCTTTCAAAGATCTGGATGGGCTCCTCCTCATATGACAAATCAAGTCTCAGCTCTACCTCATCAACTTGAATGATGTGATCTGGATCTGGACGGTATCGCCTTAACATAGACACATGAAAAACATCATGAATACGACTAAGATGGGAAGGCAACTCAAGATGATAAGCAATAGGTCCAACTTTCTTCAGAATACGATATGGCCCATTAAATCGCGGACTCCGTTTACCTTTACGTCCAAATCTCAATACTTTCTTCCATGGAGATACCTTGAGAAAAACCTGATCTTTAACTTCAAACTGTATATCCTTCATCCTTTGATCTGCATAAGATTTCTGCCTATCAAATACCTCTTTCAGACGGTCACGGATCAATCTGACTGTGTATTCCGTCTCTCGCACTAACTCAGGTCCCAAAGTCTTCCTATCACGCAACTCAGTCCAACAAATCGGGGTGCGACACCTACGCCCATAGAGTGCTTCATAGGGTGCCATACGAATGCTGGTCTGGTAACTGTTATTATAAGCGAATTCAGCCAAAGGCAAAAAGTTCTCCCAGCTACCATGAAAATCAATTACACAACCCCGTAACATATCCTCCAGAATCTGAATTACTCTCTCAGATTGACCATCAGTTTGTGGGTGGAAGGAGGTACTATAATCCAATCTCGTACCCAAAGCCGTATGAAGCGCCTTCCAAAATCTCGAAGTAAATCTCGGATCTCGATCTGAAATGATAGATAACGGAACACCATGCAATCTAATAATCTCTAAAATATACAACCTTGCCAACTTGTCCAACGTATAATTTACCCGTACAGGAATGAAGTGAGCTGACTTTGTAAGTCTGTCAACAATCACCCAAATTGAGTCATTTTTCGAAGGAGTCATAGGTAAACCAATAACAAAATCCATAGTAATACGCTCTCATTTCCATTCAGGAATCTTGAT